TCAAGAGAACCACTGCGGGTTGAGCTACAAAAATGACCACAAATTCGAAATTGTCACCATCTTGATTAAGCCAGCCTAGTAGCTAGCACCCTTAGTTAGAAAAATAACCCAAGACGTAAGAGTCAAAATCGTGACTGCGACCATCCGTCCACGCTTAATCCCACGAATTAAGCATCTCAGTAGAGATCCCAGAAACCCGGAAGCTACGATGGGTCAAAACTCTAAGAAGAGTGGATGAGGAATAAAAAGTTCCGAGTGAAGAAACCCTATACTCTCTAAATTTGATTTAGAATGAGGAAACTCAGAAACACCGGAAGAGTAGTTGCAAGGGATACACGCACACTACTCAGGCACTTCGTCCACCCCGTTACTGATGAGTAGTATCTAGGACGCTCCGCCTCCTCACGTGGAAGAAGTCACCGTCGTCTTGTTAACGATAGACTGAATTCTCTGAAGTGAATACTAGAATGCCAAGAACCACAGGATAATCTCCTCAGCCAAGAATACTTTAATAAAGTAGCGTTAAGCCTTATAACCCAGACCCCGAAGAGATTATAGACTCGACACCAGTCTAGCTGTTAGTCGATGGGTTATACAAGAACATGCGCTTTCTGCAACTGGAATAAACTGACACCTTAGAGAATAGGGCATGTCTTAGAGATTCATTGGACTACTAGGTGTTCCAAGAATACTATCTCACACAGAAATAGTAGAACCACCTCCCGAGATAGTCCAACACTTCAGAAAATCTCTAAGGGGTGAGTTAGCCCTGAATAGAGATTGTTATTCATGAAATAGCAAGCAAGTAAGAGCATGATTCTTTCTTGTTAGGAATCATATTGTGAAAGCGTCAACTAGACATTGATGAAAAGTTTAAAAACTTTCTAAACAATCGTCTGGTAAAACCCTATCTCACCGACCCTGAAAGTTTCCGTTAGAAACATCTCAAGAACCAGAAGTGCAGGTTTATTTTGCACTAGGTTGAGATAGACACCCTGCAACAAATAGATACTAGTAGATATCCAATTCATTCGATGATCCAGAAAACCTCTGAAAGCCAATCAGCTGGAAACACGGATCCAAGGATAACCCGAGCCTTCTAAGAACCAACCCGAAGAACTACACCCCCAGTATGAGAGGACGTCTAGAACATCAAAATGGTGATCACGCCAGTGATAATCTCACCATAGAAGTACATTATGTTCTAAGTACTAAAAAGCTCTATCTTTCCGAGAGCTTAGGACCATCCGATATTCTTTACAAAATTGGTCCAACCCTCGTCAGACCATGACAACTTTCGGAACTCCATAAGTTTCACCCCAAATCAATCCATGTCTTAGACTTGAAAAAGTGCTTGCCCAATGTAACTCTATGAATCCCACTTGTCTTGATAGAAATCATTGGGAACCCTAACTTCGTAGAGGAACCTGTAGGAATCACGAACCGAGCGATCAAGTGAACGAAACAAAATCCGCATCCCGCTAAGTGAAGGTTTGTTGGAACGTCAAGCGAAGGACGGAGCTCACTTGGGAGCGTGAGGACCAACCAAATAGGAAGTACCCTCATCTCTCTACCCGATAGTTCATGCCTACTTCCTTTCCTAAACCCTAATTTCGGGATGAAATTCCCTCTAACGGGGGGGATGATGTGACAACCCGAATATTTCATATGTACAATTTCTACAGTTAATCACTTCATTTGGAAGTCAAATTCATTTCCGCCATCTTCTAGCAAATTTAAAATCTGTTTTAGTATTTCGAGATTTTCACACTTAACGATCAAGTCTTAGAAAATAACCACTAAAGCCCTAACACCAAAAATCATGCCATAAACCTCATAAGATGGAGTTCTCGGGCGGTAAACTTTGGGCGGTAACTCCGGGGCAGTAAACTCACCCTATATAAGGGTTGAGTGAACCTCATTTACACTCTTTCCACTCTCTCTCTCTACTCTCTCTCTCTTTCTCTTCAAGACCCGATTTCTCCCAAGAATCTTCAAGTTTTCGTCCCCAAACTGTAAGTTCTCTTACCCTAGGTTATGTTAAATCTTATTACATGTCCATATACCATTGAAATCATCCAAAAATAGCATGAACAAGGTGTTTACGGCCCAAGAACATCTTAGGCCGTAAACCCTTAAAAAGGGTGTCAAAATGCCCCTAACTCCTTCCTTATGCTTAGAGACTATCTAAGATCATACCCTTGAAATGTTATGGACGTTAAACATTAGGTTTTGGAGGGTTGAATGAGAGTTTACGGCCCAAGATCTTCTTAGGCCGTAAACTCCCTAAAATGGTGCAAAATGTGCCCTAATCACCTCACCTAGCCTTGGACATTAACCTAGAATTATACCTCAATGAGTTAGGGACTTGAATCAATGATATGGAACTTCATGCCATGAGTTTACGGCCGTAAACTCATGGGGAAGTGGTCCCCAGGCCTTAAACTCCACACAAGACCATTTTTGGACCTTAAACTCACCCAATCTCTTGTTTAGGCCTTGGAGCACTTAACCACTTAAGTTATAGTAGTTTTAAGACTTGTTTGGAGACCCAATTGAGAGTTAATGGCCAGGAGTAAACTCCCCTGGGCCGTAAACTCCAACAAACATGGTCATTTGATCATACATTTCCATATAAAGCCATACACTCCTTTATTGCAACCCAATAGCTTCCTAGCACTTGACCAAAGTGTTTTCTTTGCATTAGGATGTTTATACACGTTTAATTAGTGCTATAATCACTAATTATATGTAAACATATGTCTTCATATGATACTAGGGTCATTAAGTGTGTTCAAGTCTTCACTTAACACCGAGCACTCAACCGACACTTCCATCCGATCCAATCGTTGCAGGTGAGTTCATACCCCTAAACCAAACTTTTAAATGATTTTAACTGTTTTTATGGGGGGGAATACAAGTTGAACTATACAGTTATTATATAAATCACATGTGATTAATAACTGTATAGCAAATGGATTTTTACATGTTAAACTACTTCATCTAACAAAAGGTTTTCCAATCTCGTTTTCAAATCTTGTTAAAGTATCAAATTATCTTTTAGATTATCAAAAGTATTCGAACGGTTTTCCAAAGGTTTTTCAAAGATTTTCCAAAGGTTTTCAAAGCTTGTTTTATAAAATGACATCAAGTCGTAAATTCTTATTTGTAAAGATTTTCCAAAGATTTTACCAAAGTTTCGTCTATGCTTTTATTTAGTTAAATGCATGCCTATATTTGTATAGTTATATAAATAATGTTTAAAGGACTTAGAACGGCTAGTTCGCCCTATTTCCTTTTCCTCGTTGGGATGTGGTCTGGTGGGTATCGGTTATCCGTCCGAAGGTCGTTTAAATATTAGTTATATATCATGTATACATGTATAGACATAAAGGTTTCCATCAACCAGGACATTCCCTTTGGGTAGCAAAGGCATCCTTCCATTCATCATTCATATACCTGAAACATTAGTAACTGATGAATGACCTCTTTGTAAACAATATTTTTTGATTTATTAGTTGGACGACCTTGTCACATATGAGTACCTTCAATACGATATATTTTTAATTTATATTCTTCTTAGGTCCGGGAACCAATGTCAGTTTTTTTTTCTTATTGGTGTATCAATTAATGCAATACAAATTGGTGCTACATTTGGAGTTTTTAGTGCTACATGAGGGTTGGGCGTCTTGTTTTGGGAGTTTTTCGATACTCTTTTTTAGTCCAAAAGGAAAGTTCCATTTTATTTTAGAGACAAAATTATAAAATTATTTGACCATTCTATTTTTTATGATCATACAGATAAATATTGACCACTTTTTTATATTATTTTACCAACTACTCAATCAATCTGAACTATGGATAACTCACCTAATATCTTTTGAAGACAACGTCTTTGTCTATTATATGGTTTTCTACAACTAAAAGCAAATACAAAAAGAAATATATTTAACTATCATATTACTTGTTACATCAGTAACAATATATATATATATATATATATATATATATATATATATATATATATATATATATATACTAGCAGTATACCCGCGCAAAGCCGCGACGGCGAATAGTTACTTTTACGGCGATTAGTTGATAGTCGGCGGCATCAGTTAGTTTCCTTTCAACGGTTAGTTTCTATTCGAAGTATAATGGAGCACATAAATATTGTATATGAATTCAAATGCAAAGCAACGATTAAAACAAGGGAGAGGGACGGTATTAATCATATTTTGGAAAAAAAAAATTATCTAGTTTGATTTTATCCGTATGATTAGAATTCGATAATAATCAGGTTGGTAGATTAATCCGACCCGGTTTTGTTAGAATTCGGTTTTAAACTCTTCCAGTTTTCAAATTGGATCCGATCCATACCAGAAATCCAAATTTTATGGGCACCCCGGAAATCCACTTTTTATGTGCATCTCTAGTGATTAGTTTGCTATTTGATGCTTTCGGAAACATTTTGCAAAGAACTCAAAACTAATGCATTGATCAATGCTAGAGGTGAATATGTAGTTAGTTCACGATGGATGTGATAATTTAAGGACATGAACTCAAATCCAAGAAAATTTAGATATGAACTACAATAAAAAAAAAAAAAAAAAAAAAGTTGTAGGAAATTGCAACATACATTACTCTTTCTATCAAAATAGGAAATCTACTTTACGTTTGCTTGTGTCCTCAATATCTGTTTGAGGTGGTTTCTTGAGTTGTAGTTTGGCTCCTTAATTTTCCAGTTGTACAAGTCAGGGCCTCAAGTAGTCTAGTTTTTCATACTCTCAAGTTTGAAAATCTTCAAGTCCATAAACGGAAGTTCCTAGTTTCTCTTCATTCCATGGAGTTCAAGTATTAGAGCAAGATTAGCATTTCCTAAGTTTCAAGTTCCATGTTAATTCCCGCCAAATAAGTCTTCAAGACTCAAGTTTTTCCTCAACTTTTAATGCTTTGTGAAGTTGTCAAATTTTCAAATTCAACTGTACATAAGAACTATTTGTTCATTGGTAGATATATACATGGCAACCTGATTGTGAGAGAGAGGAAAAGAAAAGGAAAAAAGACATTATGAGTTGTATGTGTGCGTTTGTCACCACAAAAAAGTGAAAGAGAGACTGGCCTCGGGTGGTGGAGACCTGAATACAATCCTTTGATATCAAAAACAAGATCTGCACCACCATAACAGTAACTTGCAAGTCAAACGCAAAATAAAACTCACCAAGCAAGAACACAAAAATAAAGTTCAAGCAAATAAGAAAAACATGATATGTCTTCATTAATTAAGGAAGAAACGTGAAATAGAAAAATAAGTATTTAAAGTATAAAAATATAAATTTAAAATACTTTAAAAATAATAAATTAAAAACATAATAAAATTGGGAGACTAATAAAACGATACGACTTGAAATGCTCGGAAACTCAATCATAATAAAAAACAAGAAATATCTACAATTTAAGATGATTAAAACAAACACTAATTTAATATTAAGACAATTACAAACAAACATCAATTCAATAAATCGGCTACTATTAATGATAAAGTTCTATAATTCCATATGAACGTAGGATAACTAAGTTCATTATATATTATTTTTCCAAAGTGGTCAACCTGGCCAAAAAAAAGATAAAAAGTAGAAAACAAAGATGAAATTAGAGCCACGAATTTGATATCCAATTAAGTATCGCACACAAATCAAAACCTGCAAATTATAGTCATAGTCCTACCTTTCAATGTTACAGCCATGAATTTGATAGTCAATAAGTATCGCATAAAATAAAGTTTTGAAGATGATGACGACTACATATGGTGATAGAGATGGTAGCGAGAGAGGGAGGCGGACTCGGTTTAGGTTTTGGTGACATAGAAAGGAAGAATATTAATGAATAGAACATAAATTTGAAATTAGAATTTTGAATCAACCCTATATCAATTTATCAATTCACGGATGCTTACTGATTCCTCGGTGTAGTCACAGAGATGAAAAGGGCACATCATTTCACTTCAGATCTATTACCTTGAATGTGGTGGTTATGGAGGGTGGCGAATCAAACGCTGGAATTGGTGGTGTTGCGCGTGTATGATTGTGGTTAGTGGCGGAGGGAATATGGTGACAAGTGAAAATGGTGGTTGTGAAGGTAGTGGTGGCATTGGTTGCAACAAGGGAATGTGGCGGTAGCTGCAAATAGTGGTTGTAGTGAAGGTGATCGTGGTGTTGGAGGGGAGTTGTAGGGGCGGCCGTATTCCTGGAGGGTGGAGAGACAGGGTTTTGAGAGAGAAGAATTGTTAGTCCGGGACTTTTGGTTTAATCTAACGAATGAGTCTCCTATTTAAATTTTAAATGAACCGGGAATCGTTCACTTTCAACTAACAAGAGGGGATTATGGAAAATTATGAGCCGGGTCTATGGGGTATTCATGTAACGCATGTAAATATGATTTCAAAGGCGGATAAAATTTCGAAATATAGCCGGTTTAAACTTTTAATATTATTTTAGTAAGAGATGATTATACTTTAAGTTTAGAGATTTGTACGTCTTAAAAAAATAATATTATTATATTCAATCTATTTATAGAAATAGTGAGATTTCTTTTATAAGATAGTAAAGATATATATATATATATATATATATATATATATATATATATATATATGTATATATAATGAGGGAAAAGAAGAAAACAGTAACAAAAATCGTATAAAATGCAAAGCAAGAGGTTGGAGTGGTGTAGAGAACAAACCTATGAATAAATCAAAAAGACGAACGCACTAACTGTGTGTGTATGCTGTCTTTCTAGTTTCTGCAACATATAGAAGTTGTATCTGAAGAAAGGGAAGGAGACGAAATAGATGGGTGCTTGCAGTTGTGATCATAAGATGAAACGGATTCGAGGTTACATAAGGAGGAATCAAAGAGATAAGATTATGGATTGTCTGCGCATAGAGACATGGAAAGAGAAATTGTATCTGGATTCGAGGTCGTAGAAGGGAGAATCGATTGAATCGTTGTGAAAGAAGATGTACGCATCATTGAAATTAGTGGGAGAATCTTTCTTATGTATCTTCCAACACCATTGATCTTCATATTTTCTTCCCTGCAATAAATTGAAAAGAAAATAATAACGGTGTTAGTGATTTTCAAACCAGAACAAAAGAAACGGATAATAAGGGGCGGGGTTGACCAAATGATGATGTCATTAATAAATTTCCTAATTTTAAAAATAATTTTATTTTTGGTGAGATTTAATTATTATTAATACATTTCCTAATTTTAAAAATAATTTTATTTTTTTGTGAGATTTAATTGTCATTAATAGATTTTCTAAATTTAAAAATAATTTTATTTTTTGTTAGATTTAATTGTAATTAATAGATTTCCTAATGTTAAAAGTAATTATCATTAATAGATTTCATAAAACTGGTGGACCAAAAAAAAGGTTGACCAAATGAGGATGTCAGCATAACGATCTAATGGTAGAAAATATATGAATGAAACACAATCAATGACCTTGATTGTTGAAAGTGATGTCACAAAGTTTCTCTTTTAATAATATTTAATGATGAGTAAAAATCGTTAAATCTTTATTTCTTAGGTAGACTGATTAAAAACCTAGTCAGTGTCTTTTCCGTATAGTTTTCAAGTTTAGTTTGCTCTAATGTCTTGCTAATTTTATTTTATTTATTTATTTATTTTTAATGTTATGATGTTTAAAAAAATGATAAATTTATAGGGAAAAAGAAGCAAGTTTAACAATTTATGGTGATAAATATATGTTATGGTTTATGTGTTTTTCCATATTTATAAGCATTTGAAAATATATACCGTCGTCATAATTCGTATAAGGTTGTGTTTGACGCGACACAGCTAGCTGATAAGCTAGCTTATTTTCGTGCTTTTTTATGTTGTCGTGTTTGGTAAGCCAAAAAGTAGCTTAAAAGCTAGCTTTTTGAAAAGCTACTTAGACTAGCTTTTTATGAGCTTTTTTAAAATTTTCCAAACACATAATCTTACATATCATTTTATATAATTTTAGATATTTCAGCTAGTTTTACCAAACATTATTTTTTATCAGCTAGGATTTTACGATAAAGGAGGCAAACATCACAATAAAATATTAAAATAATTTTATATATAAATAACATCGCATAATACTTATATATAATATTTATTTTTGAAAATGAAATTTACTAATATAAAGTTATCTTTATAGAAACTATATCAATCTTGTAAAATCAATATAAAAGCCATAAAATTAAGAATTTTAACTTAATAATTCACTCGTAACATGTAATAAACTCATATATATATATATATATATATATATATATATATATATATATATATATATATATATATATATATATATATATTAATTTCACATATGTAAGTATCACTACATTGTTTATAAACTATTAGTATCTAACACTAACCGTACTTGTCTAATACATATATAAAAAATAACTAAATTAAATAAACAAAATGAAAAAAATTATATAGCTAAAGCAAAAAAGTTTCCATCAGCCATAGGCATCATTATCCTATGTAAATTGACATAGAAAGAAGTAAATAAGTATTGATACATTGAAAACAGATCTTGGGTTCTTATAGCCCTATATCGCTATTCTTCACATATTTTCAACTTACATAGATAAAGATATAACGCTAGAACAACAAGCAATCAAGAGATGGTGTGAGTCAAACATACATACTTGAGAGGGGAGCTCCTCCTAATAATCACAAGGACAACGTAGAGCGGCAAGTTCCGATGGACTAGTGGTTGGAGTGATCAAATTGATGGCCCCACTTGGGAGGCGATGGCAAGAGGTGGAGATAGAGACCGACAACGGTTAGGGTTTTTTAGTTTTAGACTATTTTATATTTATCTTTTAAAATTTTTGGGAGTTTTATAAAACTTTGATAGAGCCCAAATTGTTTTAAAATATGTTTGTTTGTTTAGAATAAGTAGGTTTGTTTAGATTACATACAACAAAAAATTTGAGTTGTGATAAAATCCGATTACTATTTGTTGGATTACGATTTTTTTTAATTATATTATTAATGCTTGAATATTTTTAATTAAAGGACTTCCCAAAACATTATCACACATACGGTGTCGTTTTTTATTAATTGAGATGCATGGGCAATATTATACTTTTAGTGTTGGCATATTGGGGGTGGCCGAGCAACGGCCTGCCCGGTACTCCCTCCACTGAGCTTTTCAGATATCAGTTAGTTTTTTATTGAACAACTAATTTTTCAGCCATCAGTTAACTTTTCAGGTAACAGCTAGCTTTTCAACTAATCCGTCAAACATAACCTAAAACTAATAGAAAACCTTTATTTAATCATAAAGGTTCGCTTTTATTACTCGAAGGGTCCAAAGCAAGTGGATAATGTTGAAATCTATATATAGAGTCATAATTGTTTTACTATAATTTAAATGGATTGGAGACCAATGGATACAAACGGGTTTAAGATGATTTTGTAGATTTTCAATAAGTTTATGAATAATAATATAAATAAGATAACCGTTAAGAATCAAAACATACCAAAATCATATTTGTCATCGTTATTAATGTCTCATGTGTATAATACTATAATATGCATATGAATAATAATTTTAAATAATTAATTGCTCCTTTTTCAATACTTGTGGTTGGTGTTGCTCCACGCATGATATCCCGAAAGCTTAAAATTCGTCTCTCACGTCGCTTTTGTGTAATATGATAGGTTATTAGGATGATCAATCTATTTTGACTTATTTAAAGTCTCAAAAGCTTCATGAGCGGACCTAATGTAATTCAATAAACATTTGAGGGTTAAATTCGATATAGCGGTAAAAGCATAGGGTTGCAATTGATAATAATCGGATAAGATGACAAAAGAAGGAACCCACAACATTGACACTTTGTCAAGTCTGTAATCACCTCAAGATACAATTAAGTGGTAGGATTATAACTTTCGCGTCGGCTATGAATGGGTGTGATATCAAAGTTCAAAATCAAATAGAATTTATTTTTTATTGAGAAAATTTGTGAAAGGATAAAAAATAAGTAGTTGTTTGAAGAAAACGATCCAGAATTATGAGTTTTTAAAAAATGATTATGACTTCCGTAGGGATTTTTGTAGAAGTCCTTTAATTCTAGGAAAAAAAACTCTGAAAAATAACGTGACGTGGGAAAAAGACAAAAAAAATATTATAAAATTTTTAATTCTACAGAGATTGCATCTTTCTGCAGAGATGTTCTTTGCGGATTTGTTCTTCACAGATACTCATCTGAAGAATTGTTTTCTTCTAAATCTAATGAGGTATCAACATTTAACACATATTAGTGATTCACAATAACAATTTAAAGTACTAAACTATGTTTCTAAGTCTACTTTTTCAACGATTTAGTCACGATAGACCATGTTTTAGTGAAAAACAATTCTTCAAAAGAGTACCTCCGAAGAAAAGATTCGCAGAGGGCATTTCTGTGAAATAATGCACCCTCTGAGAAATTAAAATTTTATAATATTTTTTGTCTCTTTCCCCGTCACTTCGTTTCCTTAGAAACCCTTTATGCGGAAGTCGTGATCATTTTTCGAAAACTCTTAATTTTTGGTCATTTTCTTCAAATAATCCCTCTTTTTTGGTCATTTTACAAACTTTCTTTTTTTAATTTATATAAATTAATAATATTTATAATCCATTGAAATTTTATTTTAATTCGTTGATAATAATTAGTTCTAACTTTTATATTTGTCTTTATCTAATAAAAAAAACAATAGAAACAAAATATACAAGGTTTTTCCATCAAACTTTTACTATTTCTACTACTATCCTACAAAGCAACAAATGTGGGGTATCATTTGATCATTTTTACCAATTTGGAGAAGAGAATAAAGAGATAAATGAAATAGCACTCTTGTCATTTTGCTATGTTAATAATAGACACGGTGTTTGCCATATTAAATAGGTGTCATACATAATTTGTGTCGAGCCACACCTTGAATCTTAGGTTTTAGAATATATTCACAATTATAGGTAAAACTTCATCTTCTTCGTTTTAAATATCTTTAGTATATAGTAACATTTCGGGTAGCTTAAATTTTTTAATTTAGTATGGGTAAAACTTCATCTTCTTCATTTTAGATATCTTAAGTATATAGTAACATTTCGGGTAGCTTACAATTTTGAATTTAGTCAATATCTTGAGATTGTCTTCATTTCTCTTGTAATGTCTTATGCAAGATTCATGAACTTGACTAGAAATGAATAGACAATATCAAAAACTAATGATCAAAGTTTAATGGTGTAACGATCAAAATTTTCAACAAAATTTGAACTTTTCGAAAGCATCCCAATTCATTAAGTTATTACAAAAAGGTTTTCCATACATTTATTATCAGAGTATTCCCAGATCCATATCATAAAACATAAACGCGAGGAGCAGTACGATCACGCCTTGGCCTTGCCACGGTCTCCTGAATAACCTAAAAAACATAAAACCACAACTGTAAGCCCGAAAGCTTAGTGAGATACCCCCAAAATACCAACCACATATACCATACACATAACAATTATATCATATCAAATCACAGAACAGCCATGCATATCGGGTCTGCTGTGGGACTGGTCCGCCGCGTCGGGCCTTCAGTCCACCTGGTCCACCCTCTGAGTCTAGTCATGTCCCTCGAGTCTGCAGTGTGGTTGGTCCGCCCGCACGGGGCCTTCAAACCACCTGTCCACTCTCTGAGTCTATAGTATGACTGTTCCGCCCGCATCGGGCCTTCAGTCGGCCTAGTCCACTCTCCGAGTCTATAGTATGACTGGTCCGCCCGCATCGGGCCTTCAGTCGGCCTGGTCCACTCCCCGAGCCTCGGCACGTCTGGTAAGCCCTCGTAGGGCCTACAGCCTATCCGGACCACTCGCTGGGCCTTCGGAACAACCGGTCCGCCCTGGGTATCTTGGCCTACAACACGAAGCAGGACCCGCCTCAACCCAACTCTAGTCCAAACAACCATGTGCACATAAACATTCAATCACATAACAAATTCTCATTTAATCAAACCAATCTAACAGATCACGTAACACAACATAC